CTTTTAATTCATAAGTATTAAGTTACGGTTTACTTGGTATGAGTTTACTTCGGGCGCCTCACAATGTGTTCTCGGAACGTTTCGGGGACTCCGCTTTTGCATACGAAGCCCGAAGAGCAATAAACCCTCCTTCTACTATTTTAACATTGTTTACGATCATGCACGAGGTTTCTTGAACTGTGTGGGTGAATATCAACGACTTTCGAATTTGTTAAAGTTTTCTAACCCCTCTGTGTGAAACCCTCTGAAGTTTTTGAAGGGAGCGATACTTGTTTTATTATTTCAAATACTTCATTATTGATCTGTACCAACTCAATAGCATCATTATTTTTATCTTGATTGATTGAACTATCTAATTTGATAGCACAATTGTTTTTACATTCTCATTTCGCCCTGGTCATTGGGAAAACATTCGAATTACTGATCCGGTCTCCGAATTCTAATATCGAAATAAGAAATTTGTTCATAAGTTTATGTAGTCGGCACACGAGCGTAGCAAAGTAGCGAAGATATAAAAGTAACATTTGTACAAGGCGCAAGGGTCGCACGCTTGAGAACGCGCCTAATCAGACGATTTGATTGAGATTTATTCGAGGGATTCTGTGTCCTTGCATTGTACAACAACAGTAAATCGCTGTCTTTCATAATAATATCCTAAGTCAAAAATACGCAAGGATTTTTTTGACAAATGAGGCTGCTTAACAAAATGCTTGCATGGAGAGACAGAGATTGATGTGTAAATATGTTAAGCGAAGAAAATGCGTTCTTGTTTCGCTAAACTCCTTATAGACAATAGAAAACTGATTTGAGGCAAGGATAAGAGTGTATTTTATATATACAATAATAATCGTAGCAACTACAAATGACGTTAGTAGGCTGCGCGACATCGTCGCAACCGCGCACGCTGTTCATGAGGAAGAACCCCTCTGTGGTTCGAAACTAGTAGAGCTTTTCTCTAAATTTCTATTTACCATACTAAATCGTGAGAGAGATCTCACATGAAGATCATGAAGATCACATCACGATAAGATATATTTACCGGTAGGGCCATAGTAATGAGAAAATGAAATTTAAGAACAATAAAAATTAGTAATGACCAATTACCTAAGTCCTATTATGCCCTGAGCTCACCTACAATGTCGTTGACTTCTAAATATCAAGTCAAGTTAAGTCAAGCCAGCACGCATGAGGATGCATGAGAAGTCCGTCTTAAACCTCCGGGCCTCCTTATATTAACTTGATATTCACCTATTAATTAATTAATAATTAGTTAATTTTGAATTAATCAAATAATTAGATTAGATAGCTTGTTCTTTAGTTAACGACGTAGGTCCTTTAAATTCTACTTCAACATCTAAGACCTATTTTTAAAACTTAATTCTTTTACATAATCTAGTAGTGATACATGATTATGACGTAATAACATGTATTGACATAGATATGGAGCAGTTTATTATAATTAATACAACATTGACAACTACAACAAGTTTTTGAATGACTACCGCATTCATTGCGTGTCTGGGTCTTACGTAATTAATTTATCGTGATGGTGGTAACTAAACAAATAACTAAATCTATTGACTTTCCGAACTAACACTCCTTTTTAAATAAAAATATATTTAAATAGAACTATACTAGTAATGAAGTCGGTAAAAACAGGAGTAGGTATCTTAAAATAAACCCATTGTTGCCCAAATTAGAAATAACTGGTGCTGAATTCATGTTAAGTAAACTGAAGCTGTCAATTAATTTTACCTAAGTTTAGGCGTAATCTATGTCTCTGTCTGTCTGTCTTCCTGAAAATATACCTACATCCGCTCGATATTAACATTACTCTTATCCACTATCTCAAAGCCAGAAACTATTTTCCATATATATTTTCCATATCTAAATGTACTGAAAACCATTGGAAATCCATGCAACCAGGGAACATGTGTTCATGCACAAATTTTTCGGTTATCTACCTACCGATTTGTTCTATCCGTTCTGTAAAGCGTAATATATAAAGTTACTTCTAAAAAGAAAAATTAGCAGCACTCCCCAGCTACAACCAGATGTCTAAAAATGTTAAGTACACAGTTTAGCTCGATCTACACTAGTACCTACTTATTTTAAACTATTTAATATTTATTTAACAGACTTCATCTATCACCGACCAAACCAATTTCTACCTAAGTATACATACATAGGTAGATTGACTAAAAATCGCGGGTTAATCATGTGAAAATATTGAGAAAAGCTCTACTAGTGCCACTGAGGGGCTCTTCCTCATGAACAGCATGCGCAGTCGCGGCGCGCAACTTACTAATTAGTTTACTGAGTATTTTCACGTGAGTAACTTGCGATTTTTTATTTAATTTAGTATATCTCACGATAGTTATTGTAAAAAATACATAGGCAGTTTATTATTATCACCATTAACCAAGAAGCCTTCCCAAGGACTATCCATTAGGTGCAGTCTTCTAGTTCCTTTAACAATAAACGGATTGTAAAGGATAATATTATTAATAAGTTATTATTAGATATTAATAATAACATCAAGGAGTAGGTCGGTGCGCTTGTTTTGCTAGAACGAAGATCTAAGTATACCTATTTTTATTTTATACCAGTTAAACTAGTCTTTTAACGTTGTTAGACCTTATAACTGGAGTATACAGTTATTAAAGTTTATGTACTTGTACTTGTCCTGATATGTAGAAAAGAAAGCCTTCTCGTATGATTCTGATTTCTACATAGCCACCCCTTTAAAACGTCTCTGGCGTTGCTACATACATAATCTAACAATATGACAGGAGGTATATTAAGTCGTCAATGAATAAATAAAGAAATCCTCAATGAATCCTCAAAAATTACCTTTAACACAATTGAAAGCGACATCAGTAGGTAATACTAAAATTACTTACGTGCCTTTTCTACCCAAAATATTGAAATGAGTACAGAACAGACTACTTAACCGCTTATCTATCTAGAACGACTGTGTACAAAATTACAAGCTGCCCACAGAAATACCCTAGAACACCTACGCTCTCCATTTAGGTATATTATCCTGATTTATTTTAGGAATCCCTTTATTAAAGCTCTCTGGTAAAGTGGGCGGAGGCAAACGACAGCGATAAGATCTAATTATGGTGTCAGAGCCAGTTCAAAGTCTAAGAACATAATCTAATTGGCAATATAGAGCGACTTCCATTACCTACATCGAAAATATTTCTTTGTTGTACACACCCAGGTACGAACGAAATACCACCGTACTTTGTTTAATTAAAGCATACATTTACAGATATCTTATTTACATTCATTCAATAAATAACAATATAATAAGTAGAAACAATCGTAATAATTAAACACAGTGATATCATTGATGGATTGATTCTATTCATAAATCAGAGTTATTGTAAAAAGTGTCATGTATTTAGAGTTGGTATTGATCGGACCAATTTATTCGGCTCCACAATGAGCCTTTTAGTCCTGTGGGACATAATCATGTCGGGCAACTTGCCAATAACTCGACAGGCTCCGGTTATTGGTCGTCCCTAACTGAATGCCAAGGTCAGCTCGAGGACACTTCGGTCTAGAAATACCAGCTAACTACTAGAACACTGCAGTGCCTACTTAATTATTAATTCTAAATACGTATGCAGAAAATGTGGCTGCTTTTCACAAGAATAGTGTTAGCCGTAGTTTTATTGACGTATAGTTTTCTCGGCTTTATGTCTTATTGGAATTGATAAATGTATTGTTATCTGTGGTTTGCAATGGATTGGTAAATTAATAATTTCCTCAAACAGAAGTAATTTGTTTGCACAACTAAATTAATCTACAAGGGTTCAAAAATAACGATACATACAAACATACCCTCACTAATATACTATAAGTGAAGTTTTGTCCATATTTTTTCTAGTTCATTTGATGAAAAAAAAGTATGACGTACAACAACATTCATCTGCACGTTGCTATATTCAAACACACATTACTTTATAATAATATGTACTAAGCTTAAGCGAATAGAAAGGAATAGAAAGACAACGTATTTGCTTCGAAGTTATCTTAAAATGTACATCTATTTAGGGAGGGTATAGACGATTAGTTACGCCAATTTAAATAAGATTAACTGGCAAAAGAGGGTATCGCATCTTAAATTGATTTAACAGATGTTGAATATTCACTGGAGATCAAAGCCATGTTAGATAGGAACGATTAATCACGATTCACGCGAACTGCTCAAACTCTCTCTAACTTAAAACTTACTTAGGTATTTATACAGTTTTTAAGTAATTATTGCATACTAAACCAAATCATAACATTGTTTGTATGTATGAAATGGTCGGAGTCTGGCGGTCCATATGAACGCAATTTATGAAATATATCACTGGGCGATATTGCCTCTGAGAGATCAAGCCCTTTAAATAAATAAACAAACTAAAAATATAATTTTAGCAAGGTAACACTTAATATGTAGTAGTAAAATATGTACCTACAACAAAATTTCAAAAATATTAGCAAGTTATACCTATGTAGGTACCTCCCATAGGTTATGTATGTTTTTTATGATTATTGTTTTAATTAGCCTATGTTATTAGCTCTCTGTTGTGTGAATATAAAGGAAGGAAAATAAAAATACTTCCCTGGGACTTTGCATTAACTAGACACCTACCTCTTATTTACAAGAAAGCAAAATATCTACCCAATCGTGTTAGTAAAAATTAGATAGAAAAGGTTAAGTGAAAATTACGGGCAGAAAGATCATCAAGATTCTAATATAATAAAAGTCATTTGCATCATAAATGTAAAAGTAGCGGGTAGGTAAGTTGTCCCTGTTGAACTACATGGGTACATATGTCCGAAAACAAAGGCAAACTGCATCTTTTCTGAGAATAATTAAGTTGAAAGATAGTACTTAGTAGGACTAGGTAATACAAAAGAAATATTCAAAATAAATCAGTGTTTATGTAATTTTTCTGATGAGTCACAATTTTTTGAAGTAATTACTGATTTTACAGTGTGACGAGACAAAGCGATGACGAACTTTTGAAGAATTAGAGTGAGGCAAGTGGATCAGCGTCGACGCACTGGGAACCTGTACAGTTCCTGTTGGTCGGGCGCACTCGGGCGCAGCTGTGCGAGCCGCGGTCATTGTCGGCGTGCAGCGACGGCCGACGGTCGTGCGGGACATGCGCCGACGCACTGTGACACACACGCGCGCGCTCCACTACGCATCCGTCCAAGTGCGATAACCGACCTCCTCCGGCGTGCCAAGTTTCGATTTCATCGCCGCTCTCGCTTCGTAGTCGCACGTGCAGCGCTGTAGACGCCGCACATCACGGACCCTCGCCGTGCGAGACGCCTCCACTGATGTAACATATGCCCAACACACGATTACTGACTGCATAGACCGACCGTGCATTCGAAAAAAATATTTTGACGTTTTCGTGACATGCCGCGTAGACGTGCGACAGACGTGCGGATATAAAATAAACATCGTGTGAAAGTTGAATAATTATTTAAAAGAATTGAGTGCAGCTAAAGAAATTGTGGTTCAGTTAGTGCATCATGACGTCCCGGTCAAAGGAAAAGGTGGCAGCTGCCTTTCGTAAGCTGTTCCGCTCTCCAGAGAAGCTGGACAATGACGGTGCAGGGCCGAGTGGGTCCCCAGCGCGCCGTGGATTGCTGCGACGACACAGGTATCTATTATTTACTTAAAATATATTTGATAAAACTTATAGAAATACGCAGATAGCCCATACATCTACTGCAGACATTATAAAAAATATAGAACTTTCGAAAGCAGAGAATTTCATAAACAAACAAAATTGAATATGCAAATGAGTCAGAGACAGTGATGGCAACGGACGTAGCGAGCTGTTGTAGTAACATCAGTGTGCAGTAGATGTTTGATAACACAGCAGCGACACTAACGGCCGGTCCGGTCCGGTCACGTAGCCACGGCACTGTGTTCCCCACCGCCAAACGCCATCACCACAGGGCAACACACATAACATGTCGAACATGCATATTACCGTCTTGCCAATATTACGGACCTACTCTTAGTTATTTCATAACAAACACACGCTTAATAAATAACAGACGAGGAGCATTATATGTTATGCGTTCAGGAAAACATTAGTTTTACCATTTACATAATTACCAGGCTCAAACAAGCCTAATAATTTGTAAACAACGGGTGATTACACTCGAGGACTTCACGATAGGGTGGTGCAAATAGATAAGCGTAGCGTAATGGTCTTACACGCATTGATTTCACTTTGTATTCTTTTATGTGTTTAAGGATAAAACATTACAAAAATAGTGACAAAATTCATTAATCTTCGGACCTCACTGTCCAACGAAACTAGCCTTTCCCCGTCCTTTTATATTGACACAACAATACCTATAAAAGTGTAAATCCTATTTATCAAACTAAGTAACATGTAACTGTGCCATGCTGTCACTCGCTTATCAGATAGGTACAGACAAATACCATTATCATAGTCATTAATTTATTAGTATTAACAAAGCACACAAATTAAATATTAGTAAGAAAGTTAATGGCTGGAAACTTGATCCTAACCTTTCAGAGTAATTTCTTCACAAAAAGCTACTGATCTGAACAACGAGAGCAAATATTTCCAATATTTCAGACAGCTTCAAGTATTTACATGATAAAACTTTTGTACCGATAAACAGAACCAGGTCAAAAAAGCTTCAAACAAAACTATTTTTAGATGCGTACTGCTGACCTACTTCGAGTACGCCAGATAATTCCAAATTGTTGTAACCTAAGTATGTTATAAATCATTTCAACGAATAAGTATTTATTTTAGTCTAGAACAAACCGTACAGGTATTAGGTTTCTATGAATTATATCGTGTTTTAAGATCAAGGTATTTCATACACGCAACCGTTAGTAATACATTCATTTAAGGTCAATTCTAACTAACTAGGTATATAATACACGCTTGAATGACGACCAAATGTTAAAACAAATATAACACACGTCAATGCCGCATAAACTTGGCAAGCTGCACTTGTTCGATCAATTTTGAAAGGTCTGTGGCAGCGAAGGTCAATAATATTACCCATCATAATTTCTGTTCGATTATTACCTTTGAACCTGTAGTAGAAGAAATCTCATATTCAATAGCTTGCACAATCCCTGACACTGAAATTAAGCACCTCGATTCATAATATATTCCTTTCAATTTCATTCAAGTGGGTTCCTAACAATAGCTAATTAAATGCCTGCTCTTGGAAATGTGAATCCGATTCTCTGTCATTTCTCGTTGATATCTCGTCTCCAGTAGCCGACAAACAAAGGCATTGTTTACATACAAAGCTCACAAGCGCCCACTACTAGTGTATACGAGTATATTGCCCGTTATCGAAGCTAACTCTACAGCTACAATGACTGACGTATCAATGCGGAATATCGCAACAAAGAAGTCCCAAGCAAAAGGCCACACGCAACCGCTTCGTCTGTTTATTCAGCCATTGTTAATTATGACACACCAATATAAACAATGATGAAAGAATAAACAAAATATTAGCGATCCATTAAGTGCGTGTCATCTGATTAGATACAGCTTGATATTAGTGGGTCAACATAATCTGCGACAGTGAATTAACGTGAGCTCTTGCATACATTTTGTTCAAGTAATTATTAGTTATAAAGAGACACTTTATTTTTAGCTGTAATCAATACTGTCGCTTTCTAGTAAATGCCGTCTTGTTGTCTTTTTATTTATTCATTTGTGCCATTGTTAAGTATGTGTAGATTATATCATCACAAACTCAGAAACGAGAACGTTCGGTAACCATTCTCTATTCAAAATCAATGATATGTTTATTAATGGCTAAATTAATTAGTAACGACAAAAGGGATTAATCATTTCCTTTATTAACATCTAATGAATGATGTCCGATGACTATTTAATTGTAAACGTACAGTATTCTTTATTAGATTACCTTATACCTACACTGTTGATGAATATCTGCTAATTACTTACATGTTTGCCATTTATAAATGGTGAATTAAATAACATTTAAAAGATCACGGAAATGGCCAATAACGTGCTTCTGATGACGATCACTTTGACTCATGGTATCCTGGTACAAAAAGGTACTGCGTGTTTTATGATGGCTGCGACTTTACTAATTATTTTAACATTCATGTCTATCTTTAACGACGCAGTGTAAAGAAGTTAGATTATTAGTATTAGCTAAACTTATACCCGTACTATCGTTCTATTTTACCAAAATTGAACACGAGGCTGTTAATGCCATAACAAAAAAATCTTTTGTTAAAAATTGATTCTTACCTGACAGGGTCTCCCTTTTTTCTTAACCTCGCCAAAATTGCAGCAGCGTAAATAATAATTTTAAAAGTTGGAGATTTTAATCTCAATATCATATCATCATAGTGCATCACTATACAAATAATGATGTATACTAAAGATTAAAATAATTACAAAAACAGATAGGTCTCAAAATAGACCCTTGAGGTACTTCTGTTCCAAATCTTTGCAGATAATAACTTTCAAATACCTACTTATTCCACACGACTGAAAAACGACCTTTTTACACGAATAAGACATTTTCCTACTTACGATACCCGATGACTTTTGAGGAGCAACTGTAATTACAAATTTATTATCAGCAATTCCTTCATTAGGAGTAATACTAGTAAATTGAATTTGAGGGGGGTTTGCTGTAGATAATCTACCTTTACGGTATATACCTTTCTTTCTATACATCAAAAGCATTCTACAGGTCTAAAAATATTTAAAACTAATTTTGTGAGAAACAGGGCTAGTGGAGAGTGGCTAACTGGTAGGTATAGGAAAACAAATTACTGTCAGTAACAACTTCAACTCTATCTAGTACAGATTCCGGTTGAACCAGACGAACGGGAGCAAGGTACTGGGCCTGGGTGACATGCGCACCCACGCTACTTTCATATCTAAATATAACTACTTCATAGAAATTTTCCCTGACTAATCTATGTTGTTAATTAGCAGAGTTTAATCGATTTTTAATGAATTATTAATAAATAATATCTTGTGCAAGGTCAATTAGCAACCAGCTACTGTACCTTTAGAAACTCTTAACAGTTTAGGAACTTTAATAAAGTTTATAAGTCACACCATTGCAACGATTTTGTGAGGCTTAAATTATAACATACTTACCTGTGTGATTTAAAGATAAATAAATAGTAATAATCAAACTTGTTTTGTATGGATATTTATTTATTAATGAAGTTCTCAGTTTTTGACATTCATGTTTATAATTTTAGCTTAGATAAGCAGCAGATACTGTATTATAATAATTCGTGCGTATTCATTGTATTTACATACTTAATCATGTTTTGAAATAATCGTGTTGAATATGAATAAGTAAGCATGTGTTATTTTACTTATAAACAATTTCTTGTTTTGCAATGCTTTCTTACAGACATTTTTTGCCCTGAACATAAACAAAACAATGTTACTAACATCCGGTAAATCGTTAACATACATTTTAAATGTTATTGTGATTACCTTCTTGTTTCCACATGTTGAAATTTAATGTTGTTGGCATTATATTACGCGGAAACTACTTTTAGATTGAAAGTGCAGCTTATCGGTGGCCTGGTAGGCAGTTATTTACGTAATCTGTACTGCGTACAATTATAGGTATAAATCTTCTGGAAGTCATTAAACTTTGCGAGTCGCATTACACTCATCATTTGTCACTGCATTGGAATTGGAGTCATTCCAAAACCAAAAAGCGTTGTTTGAATATTTTTTGCTTAACGGTAATCTCATTGTGGTTACTGGTCGGCTAGGGTGACTAAACAGCTCCAATCCTCAGTTCGATTCCTGGAAGCCAGTTTAGATAAGCAGTTCGTTACTTTGGTTTCGCATTCCAAGTAGTTTGCAGTTACAAAGGATGTTATGAGAACCGATATGCCTAGCTACTTAAGTAAACGTAAATAATACAAAAGAAAATATTCACAAACACGGCTAAGTACTACGAAGATAGGTCATTGACTTCAAGGAAAATGATAAACTTTATTCATTTCTACATTATTGTCTGTTAACTAGGTACCTGTTAGCACTACCTATACCTACACAGTTATGTATCTTCGCCGAAGTATATAATACTCGGTGATTAATCAAAATCAGTAATGGTATGCGGTCGCCCCAGTTTCGTTATAACCACTCGCTGTTTTGTTCCTTTTCAATTAGTTAGTAAAACAAAAACATGATTAATAAACCACGAACAGCTTTCGACGAAGTGGGTAACCTTTTTGGCAAGTTTTTAAATAGGTTGCATGTTTGTTATGTCCGGCTTAGTGACTAATGAATTAACTAAAAAGACTCATTAGTGTTGATTTCAAGAATTTTGCAGCATCCTCTATTTACTATGTTTAAAACTTCGCGGAATTTTCATTTAAAAAAATTAAATAGGTTTTTGGTTCTTACAGAGAAAAGTTGTTTATTAATAGATGATTGTAGTAGTTCATTCGACATCCTTCATGTTAATGTTTTTAACTGATTACACTGCGATTCTCTACCTATTCTACTAATTTAGATAAACATCTGGGCGACAACACAACCTCCTTTTTAAAATCGGTTAAACAAATAGACGTTTGCTATGCTAAAGTTACAAAGACATGTGATATCTCGACATTCTCGACGTATTGACGGCGTCTGTCGTGAGAATTGCAGGCAGACGGCATTCCACACACGAACGTAGGTAACTATAAGTACCTACCTATAGGTACAACATTCGCATCGAGAATGCCTTTATGGTTCACATACTAACTAACTAGGGCATTCAATGAATTCAATTTGCATGTTTCCAGAAGCTCTTTGTTCTTATGAAGTAAACATAAAGGTTTTTAATCTTCCTTTATGTAAGTACGCAAGTTACTGCGGATCCTGTGCGTGGCTAAAAAAAACAGAACGCCAAAAGGCTTAGTTATATTTTATTCATAAACTTTAGTTAGAAGTCACTATACAACGCAATTTATTTATCACACAATAGTTCTGCACCTACGTCTGTTAAATAATAATGTTTTTATTTTTATTGTGTATGGAATATCAAAGAACTGATCTATTATCTACCGACATATAACCCCAGTACTGTTTACGAAGATACCAGGAAGATAGATAAACAGTGTTAAGAAAAATCATGAATGAATAATTTTCTTTTATAACTGCAATGATTTTCAAAGAGCAAAAGTTAATTCTCCTTACAAAAGCGAAGATGCTTTATCTTCATTATGTTCGCAGGTTAAATGTTAAAGTAAACTTCGTAATATATCAAGATAAACATGTGCAAGTGTACCCGAAGCGAATTGCGAAAGTGTCACGTTGAGAACAATGCTGTTTGCGTTCATGGTATGAAGACATCGTTTTAATGACCTCTCACAAGTCTTTGTTACCAACCTAACGTCTCAAGTGGCGACTGTCAAGGTGTTTATGAACGTCAGTCTCAAACCAAGGTGTTGGCTACTGACTACGATCTTTAGTCACAAGACAAAATCCCACTAATCCCTTTGTTGGCAGTTTATCATGACATTTATTACTCTACTCTACTACACCTACCTGACTCTAATTATTTGGTAACAAATTTATTGGCAAATCTTAGATCTTTATAATACCTACTTATAAAGAAAATTTGGAAAATATCACAATTCTTTCAATTGTGTAAAATATGACATTGATCTGAATAACTGAAAACTTGTACTTGTAGCAGGTAATAAGAAAGCATCGAGACAATGAACAATCGTGTGGAAAATGAGAGTGAATGCATTAAGTCATGCTCCTTTAGATAGTATGCGTAGGCACTTACATGTGTTTTGTAATCACATTATTAATTATTGTGTTATTAAACTTGTTACGATGATAATAAAATATATAGGTGGGTTGTTATACTTATTTGGGTATGATAAAATCATCTATTCGTATAATGTCGTCTTAGTTGTACTTATTATAGCTAGGTATATAATTATAACATCTGTCTTCATGTCTATATGCATATCTAAGTAATACATAAGACTGCATGTAGGTCAATGATATAAATACACCGAAGAGTCTACTAAGCAGAACAACGCGTGACCGCAGTCACGATTTATTTACCCAAGAACACACTTGAACACAAAACATCTTCGCACCTCTTGCTACTTCGTTCATGAATGAGTTCGAAGGAATTTGGGCTATTTAGTATCCTTCCACAAAGGCATACTAATGAATTATTCGTTATTAATGATGAAAAAACTTATTAGTCAGTTAATATAGATAGCTCATATTTCCTAATGCTCCTAATTATTGGTACCGTTCTTTAATTTAATGAAATATTTCTCCATGTTCTCAGGGATGGTGTAAGTCCGGCAGAGGCGGCAGCTGCAAGTCTGCCAGCAAGTCCTACAGCAACAAGCCTTGTCAAGAAGAAGGCAGGCGGAGCCAATGAGGTGCGCGAGCGCGCTGCTGCTGTGCGTACGCGCAGACTTATGAAAGAATTAAAAGAAATCCAACGAATACAGAACAGCAGGCCTGATCCTGTATTCACGGTGAGTTGTGATCCCATTTTGTTGTTTAATTTAGACGTGTTCATTCTAAAAATATAACGAAAATATACCTACTCATGTAGGTAGGTAGGTTACCGCCATTAAATGCAGTTGTAATTAGAACGATAATACAAGGTGTGAAATAAAATTCCGCTTAAAACCGCAGTACGTACAAGTAAATTTATGACCATGTCCACATGATAAACTTATCATGCGCAACATAATCTACATTACAAGTATTACAATGTTTCTCTTTTTATTTTTTAATTGATTTGGTTTCTCAACCGTTACTTTTACATTTAAGTCATAAAACACAAGGACTAAGGTCAACATACGCGATAGTTACCTACTCATGTTTACATTCTAATTTTGTATGAAATTACTGATTTATGTCACTTACTTGAGTAGGTAGTTGTATGGCAGGGTATATTAATGTTGTTTAATTAGGTAATAAATAAATCATCGCAAGTTAAGTTTCTCACAATTTTTATAATTTATGGCACACGCTTCGCTGGTTTCAAATACGTAATAAGGACCCCTTATTAGACAGTAATCTAGTCCACAGCGGATGTGGTATTCGTGTACAGACTCCTAAGTATATTAGGCAATACTTAGACACATACGGGCTACACTTAACGACCCTGTCATGTAATTAACCTGCTACTGCAACAGTAGCAACCACACGCCACGTGAGTCATTAGTCCTTATTCGTGATCCCGATCAATTTATATCTCTACTCCGAAGTCTGATACTCTGAATTCAAATTGACAGAAACTACTGTCGTATTTTTTAAGAGAGGAGGAAAGTTTCTTAGAAAGTTCCTTCGAAAGTTTCTTAGTACTTTGAGGAGAAAGACAAGAGAATTAAAGAGGCAATTTTATCTTATTAAAACCACCCCGGCGGCTAGTATCAGCACCTATAAGGGAGCATCAGGCCAACAAATTTTGAGCACCCATTATGACACGCTTGTTGCGGCACATCCCTGAAGATATACTTAGGTAGGTAGGTAGGTAAATAAACAACCGGTTAAATTGCAAATATTTGATCAATTTTCTTTTTTTTTCCAGGTGGAACTTGTAAACGACAATCTATTCGAATGGCACGTCCGCCTGCATCAGATAGATCCGGAGAGTGAGCTGTCCAGCGATCTCCGCGAGCTTCACATTCCACACATACTATTGCATCTGATATTCCCTGAGAACTTCCCCTTCGCACCGCCCTTTATGAGGGTCATCGAACCTCGGATAGAGAAGGGTTTCGTCATGGAAGGTGAGTGATGTATTCAGGACAAGGCCAAAGCTATTATAGACCCCGTAACTATAGTCAAATTTCCATGGTGCTTGGCGACTGGGCTTCACCCAGTTGTACAGTCTCTTTTCTTTGTGCCGTCAGGCTTAATTCACTCTGTCTCCTGCAGTAATTCACTGAGGGAAGTGGAAACTATCGGTTTTTTTTCTTCTTCTCTTATAATATCTTCTGATTCACTTCGTTGCGGGAACCAAGACAGTTATTCATGTCCCTTCAGTATTCCGGTGTTTTCATGGTTGTATCTACTGTAGATCCTGGCTTACAGGAGTTGCAGCGGTTTTAGGAGGTTGTGGCGGACTTGTCCCATTAAAAAAAATAGTTACGATCATAAACCAAGCAAAAAGTTGTTTTAATCACTGCTAAAACAACATTCGTATTTCCTTTCACAACTCGTCCGCCAATAATAGCACTGATTCTCTGATTATTTTAATATAACTAGAAAATTAAGAGTGGAATATTCATTAGATTGGCCAATTAACTATTACTTAACTACCTAATCAAACTTGTGAACTATATAAACTAATGATCTAATTGACAGCAAAGCTACGTTGTGGTTAAAATTCGATTACTTACGTATAATATTATACGTTGATATATGCATCGACCTCAGAACATCTGCTACTAATGGAAATTATTTTACGATTTCTGTCTGTTGTTTTAGGTGGTGCAATTTGTATGGAACTGCTAACCCCGCGCGGCTGGGCTTCCGCGTACACGGTAGAGGCTGTGGTGATGCAGTTCGCGGCGTCCGTAGTGAAAGGTCAGGGCAGAGTGGCGCGGGCGCCACCGAGACCCTCGTGCGAGTTCACACGCCGCCGCGCAGAAGAAGCATTCCGCTCCGTCGTCAAAACCCATGACAAATACGGTTGGGTCACGCCGGCACTCTCCGATGGTTGAGTCGCTAAGGTAAGCCCATTTTTCTGTTCTTAAATACTCATAATGCGTAGTCCCTGTCTCTATAGGAGTAGTCACAACACAGTGCAAGTTGTAACATTGACCCAAATATGAAACCTCGTGACCAGCCACGAGTTGGTACATTTCGTAAGAGCATCATTTATCAATTTAAATGCAACGTCTGTGATTGGTCTAGTTACTAGTGTTAACAAATACCTAGACCTAAATCTGCAAAGGTTCTGTGTATCTATGTTTATTTTACAGCTAGACCGATATTGATAAATTCTAGATACTGAAGAGAAAGATGGGACCGCGGATTTTACGGAAGTAACAGAGAAAAAGTGTTGTCTTAGTATAAATGTTTTTGTAATCTCTTTTTTATTTAAACTTTAAAGTTATTTTATATTTTCTTTTCAGTTTGTGCCGTTCAACTGTAATGCAGAAAGGATCTCCTTTAGTTATTTTTCAAGAACAATTTTTAGTCGTAACTAGTGCAAATTTTGATAATGCTCTGCTCTGTGTAATTAGTTTATATCATCTTGTCTAAGATCAGTGGAGTGTTTTATTGGAAACTCGAACATATAGAAATTACATTCAATGTGTAAGTCTAGGATGAATGGGGGCGATGCAATTCAATATTCTAAAGTAAGTTTATTAATAAATAACTAACTATTGCCATACATGTGCATGTTATACTTGCAAGCACAAATACTTCTTATGATATTCTCTCATTTTGGGAAACTAGTTCTCCAAAAAATCGTCGACGTTATTCTGTGGAATATAAACAGGGTTGGATCTAACAACAAACAATGGAATGCAGACATCGGACTGGAAGTTACTAATGTTGGATATTGCAACCTCTAGATGTAGAAACATGGTCTCTTCATGCATTTTCCGTCTTTGTGAGTAACTTATGTTGTGCCAAACTGGAACGCTCATCGCCTACCTTGTAACGCTCAATTTTTTCGAATGTTCCCATTTAAAATTAACTATTCGATTCTTAAATCTTAATCTTGAATACAAATTAATGAAAATTAAATATTTTGCAGATCAATAATATTGATGTTTTAAAGGAAATGTTTCCGTCCCAAAGTCATTTAATCATTTTGATAATATTAGAGATTGGTAGTTTTTAAAATCCACCAAAACAATTCTAAAATAAAGTAGTTTGTCATTTCATGTTTGATCTATTCTTTGTAATGACCTACACAATCCAGAAAGATATAAGTGTACTTTTATGTAATACCTAATGCAACAGTGTAGGCCTGTAGGCTCTGCATGCTTTGTGTGAGTCTGTGGTAGCAACACTGCAGCTATTTCATGAGTAGTGAAATGCTCAAATTAGTTATAATTTTAAATTGTGAAATGAAAGGCTTGTGGTAAATTAATGTAATTAGGAGAAAATAGAAAATTGATGTTGTTAATTTGTGTGGTGAACCAAAGATGTTTTATTTTTATGTGAACTTCATTCAGCGCAAATATGTGTAAATTATACTTTGACTATATGTACAATGTTATAGGTGTAATAATAAATACCTGCTCAAATGATCACTTGGTTTTAATTATAAACTTTCAAGTACACCTTTTTATATATAGGATTATCATACTCGGATCATTTTAAAAATTTAAATAAAAAGATGACAAATGCAGACAATTGTATGAAGTGTTACAATGGATAAAGTTTGGGTATGCAGCCAAACAGACCTGTTGGAGATTCCAACTTGCCATTTCATTTAAACAATCTAGTAAATGGTCACAGTTTTGGCTGACATTTTCTCTTAAATACAAGCTCCACGGCTTAAGGTAAATTGAAAGAAACTTTACAGTGTAATCACTTTATACAAGACTTGAAAAATAAAATTAATTGTTATAAATATAAGATGGGAACTATCACAAGGCAGATCACAGCCCTCCTCGCAGGGCCAACACTAAGTGGAGGACGGAGCCTCCTTGTACTTTGTAGTCTTGTGCTGTCTTCTCATCATTCCTGGAAGAATAATACACAAATATTAGTCATGCAATCAATCCAACGAGCTGCTGGAAGTTATTGGGAAGTATTAGTTGTTGTGTAGCTGACATAATGATGATGAATCAATTCATTAAATCAAAATACTTTAAACACGCTAATAACACTTGACTTCAGATTCTCATTCCTAAAATAAATAGGATATACTTAAAGTATATGAATGAATATAACAACATTACTATTATTAATCTATTATCAAAGCTTTGTGGTATATTAACTCTTGGAGTGCTGTCATTATAGACACAGTTAAAGAACAATAGGTTGCGGTCACTGGTGACAGCTCGGTGTTTGACAGTTTAAGACTGTATACTTAGAAACTTACAAATAATTCTACCAAACTTAATAATAAAACTACAAAACTAACTAATAAGACTAACTAATTCTCTAAAAACTATAATTCTTTTAACATATTATTATTTATATATGACTAAACATCAACCATGATTGTCATGTTTTTTAAAGGATAAACTTAGTGGTAGGTATGTGAATATATAATGTATTATTCATATAAACTTACAACTTTTACATAGACATTTTTCGCCCAATGATCGGTTATTGCTTTAATCAATTTGTATTATCACAAATAAATAAATAATATACGTGTAGGTAATGGCCAGTGACAAAGAAACATGGATGCTACAACACTTACATTTGTTTCCCGGAAAAAATAAGACGTTGTTGCTGTGGTGGAATGCCTTCCTTCTCCTCCACTCTCTCTTTGATCCTCTCCACTTTATCTGTAGGCTCAATGTCTATTTCAATCTCCTTTCCTGTAAGCGTCTGTAAAAATAAACGAGGTTATAATTTTGAAAGTAAGAAGTACTACTACCAGATTACAATTAGAATTATCTTACCTTCACTTTAATCAGCATTTTGATGGATTTCTTTCTGTAATATCAATACCTAAACCACTAAATCAAAGTAATTCTAATCCGCGGTTACTACTATATTTCGATACGGTAAATTATTTGTCACTTTTTGCTTGATAATCGTTTGACACTATAGTTGTCAAATAAGACAGCTAACTTGCGAAAAGATATTGATTGGATTCTTGTAACGGGCCTAAATCTTGTAGTACACTGACGGAACGACTCATAATACTTTTCTTCAATTCTAACGATAGTTAGTTTCTAAACATAATGACTTAAAATGCATCCTATTTGTAGGATACAAAGCTGGATGGTTGTCGGACAATTGCAAATTGCAAGGCTAGCTTTATTAGCATAATTTAGGCGTTTTTTGGTCACCTCTAGTTTAAAAGTTCTCAATGTCAAACTTGTCAATGTCATGAATGTCATCATCATAGATTGAAATATTGAAATGCTTGTTGTGCTTGTTTGTTTATTCTCGTTATAACAGTTTGCGTTTATTTAAGCAATATCCGAAATCACGATTCAATTGAAAGTTGAAACTAAATTTAGGAAATCAGTTTTACTTATACGTTAAATATGTCACACCTTCAATTTATATTCGAAACAATTGAAAACCTAACTCATACAGGTATGAACTTGGAATTTAGTTTATTTACATTCCTAGGTCTAAGTTATTTTATTACTCTTCGCACAATTATAATATTATAATTATGATTTCAGAAGGTCATTGTGAATTTGTGACAGTCCTAAAAGATATTGCTGAAAATGAAAATCAAGTAATGTCTAATGAAACTTATATGAATTTAAACTCATTTATACAGAAGATATTCCTTTCCATAGATGAACTTATAAGTGAATTGAACAAGGATGAAACTATTCTGATTAGTGTAAAGAACCAAAAGCTGCTGCGGACATGTTTTCAGGTAGTAACATCGCTTAGTATTTCACCATGTTTAATACCAGGGTTGGGAATAAAATTATCTAAGAGGTGCATTACTGGAGCAGTACTTCCAATGCTTGTCTTGACTGATGAACAGAAATATGAGATGCTAGTGGCATGCACAGATTTTTTTACCAGAAGTTACTCGATATCTGCCCTAAAAACCATAATTATAACTCTACACCTCTCAGACTACTTGGCAGCTTTGATACAGTTATCATTTGCTCCATTTAAAAAACCAGGAACTTACAGCAACTTTACAATGACACAAGAAATGTATGACAAGCTCAGTGAAGATAGAAAAAAGTATTTAAATGTTTATAATCATCTTGTTTCTAATTGTTTTCAACCTGTACTTATGAAGGAATTGTTGGTACTCCAAAGTGGATCAGATCCTTCCCCTCCAGCGTTTGCTAAAAGAGTCATTGCTAAGGAACTGAGCCAACGGTTGATATCTCCAGGTGGTTTGCTCAGCCTTATTCGATGTTTCATAGAGAGTTATGATATTGACACTGGTTTTGAATGGAAAAAGATTGACATGATATGTCGAATCATAGCTGCAAGACATGGGACCAGTACAGAAAGTGAATATTTAGCTAACATTTGTAATCAACTACAAGAAATATTGTCAGTGAACAACACACATTACCTAGCTGCAGCTGTAGCATGTGTTTTAAGTTTAAATGAAAAGTTCCCACAAACAGAACCAGTTGTTAAACTTACTAATGATGTATTCCAGAGTTTTGACTATAATTATTTAACCACAAGTGGTTTGCCTGGTACTATGATCCTGTCTCCACAAGAAGTGGAACAAAAAGTTAAAGTTTTACATGCTTGTGTTTGTACTACCGAGCTAGACTGGCCAGTACAATTGCTGCTACCAAACTTGTATGTACTTTATTACATAGGAACTAAGTGTACAAAGAATGATGACATGAAAATAAAATTAAAAGATATTTTAATTAAAAGTCTAGAAAAATTAAGAAAGGATGAACTATATGACTTGATTAAAATATTTTTATTTGGTAAAGTTGTTCAGAACTCGTCTGCAGTCATTGTTGAGGAGTATGATGCTGGTGTTGCCATAAAATCGGTGTCAACCTGTGAAGACTATTCTAAAGAAGAAGCTGTGATATATTTTATGGATTTATTTAAGAGTGTTACAGATAATGTTGTTGTTACAAATATATTTACGATAGCTTTAAGAATATTGTTAGAACTTAATGATCAAAGGCAAAAGAAAGGAAATAAAGATATCTTACTGACAGAGGATGATGATCCTGTATTGATTGATGCAATTGATGAGCAGTATGCAGTGATCCTGCAACTACTGTCAGAAATATCCACCTCACCTAAAGTAGTGATGTCACTGAAGTCAGACCCAATGATTGTTTTTGATTTCATTGAACATTTTATTTTGAAACAGAAAGCAGATGTGGATAATGAGTGTGTCACCATAGCTTTAGTACTACTCAACACTATTCTATCAAACGCTGAAAATATTGATCCAAGGTTTAGAAACTTGGTACCAGTGTTGAGAAAAATTAGTAAGAATGATTCCGACTTAAATAGTATACTTTGCAAAGAGGCCTTATCACTGATATCTTCAGAGGCTCCTCAGAAGAAGGACTCTGCATGTGAAAAGGCAATATCTGATACATTTGATGAGTTGCTCCCTGTAAGAGCTCATGGGATCATTGAACTCACAAAGCTAATTGATGCGGGGGATGCTGAGACTATTTCTAAGAAACACTATGTGTTTTGTATATTTCAGGTATATATTTTATTATATTCGTATTTATAAATTACAAATCAAAATAATTTCCATAAGTACAGTCAATAATCTCAGTATAAAAGAGAAGGATCTCATGAGTTAGTTATGACTGCCATATAAGTTGTTTTCGTCAGTTATGAGTCCAATGGTATAAACTAAGCCCAGCTTTAAACTATTTCCGGCGGTATTTCCGAACCGATACGACCTTCAAACCTTCAAGAGAAGAGCGTACTCCTTTTTAAAGGGCCGGCAACGCACCTGTGACTCTTCTGGTGTTGCGGGTGTCCATGGGCGGCGCTGATTGCTTACCATCAGGTGATCCGTCTGCTCGTTTGCCTCCTATTCCATAAAAAAAAAAAAACTTCCTTTTTTTTAATGGGATAAGCCGGTAAACTATCAGACAGATCACCTGATGGTAAGCAATCGGCGTCGCCCATGGACACCTGGAGCACCAGTGGCATTACAAGTGCGTTACCGGCCTTCTGGATTAGGAATTGGGGAAAGGGATGGGGGGAGTAATTGGGCCTCCGGTAACCTCACTCACACGACGAAACACAACACAACGTTGATTCACGTCGAACTTACTGTAAGGCCGTGGTATCACTCCGGTGGAGCCGGCCCATGTCGGCCTCCATGTCGAAGGATGGCTCTCCCACACTTCGTGCTTTTACTTAGAATTTTCGAAAACCCCTAATGACAAGGAAACCACAGTCACATATGCGATCACTCAAGGCCTTTATTGTGTTTTTTTTTTTCAGGAACAGCTAAAAGACACAGACTCCTACATCTACCTCTCTGCCGTCAATGGTCTAGCTGCGCTATGCACACACTGCACAGAGGATGTGCTACAAATACTTTGCAAAGAGTTCTTACAAGACCAAATAGCAAAGCAAGGCAACATTGAAACTCATGAAAGTCAAAACAGGGATGCGGAATTGCGAATGAAAATTGGCGATGTTATCGTAAAAGTTACTAAAAGATTAGGTAAGTGAATGTTCCTGCAGAAGGGTACGTTAGAGTTTTAGATTTTGTGCTTACGAGATGGCGCTAGTGTCTTTTACTTAGAGCACACACACAATGTTTGGCGATCTCTTTTTTATTAGTTCCGTTTTAATAGTCAGCTTCCAATGCAAACGTCCATAAATGTTTAAACGACGTGGGCATCACGTGAATCGAGTGCTCGGCATTCTGCACTACGTTGGCGATTCTTCGGTTAACATTGCCTACTCATTTCCGTGTGTACAACCATCTTCCTGACTCGGAAATCAAACATTTTGATTAAGTTCTTAAAATATTCGTATTTATTATAGGTGAAATGGCAGTTGTTCATAAAACGATCCTACTGAACACGATGCTGTGTGCAGTCAATGATGGAGATCCTCTCATAAGGACGTCAGCCTTGTCCAACTTGGCAGAAATAGCCTTAGTGCTGCACTACAGGATCGGAAGTATTATTTATGAGGTGAGTGAGTGTCTAAAGCTCTAAACAGACGAACCGCATCTTAACTGCAAATTGCAGTTCGGGCAGTTTCAACGCAGTTGACACAACTGCAATCGGACAGCTCGTTTGGTTTGCAATTCAATTGCAGTCGTAACACGAAAGCATTCAAATGGCATCCAAACTGCAATTTGCAGTTGGATTGCAGTTGAAATGCGGTTCGTCTGTCTATCGCCCTATCTGTACCTAAGTACTGACGTAGAAGTCATTCTTTTTTCGGGTTTAAAATGATTTGTTATCGGAAGTGACACGCATTTCTTAAACGAAAACTTCCAAGGTCACCATTTTTAAGCCAGGTGTAATCCTAGTGTGCGGAAACTATTTTTTTTTTAATTCCAAACTTACCCTTATTACAGCTTGGTAATTCTTATAACTATTTTCCTAAATTATTGTAGGTATTAGATTTTTCTGATTAGGTATATTTTATGTACCTACTTATTATTAACTCGTTTCTACTTAAAAAAGACAATGTATCATGGTTTGTAAAAAAAACGTGTATCGTATTATGTTATTCGCATTTACCCATTATGTTATTTTGTTCAAGGTACTTTATTGTATTTGGAGTATAATACAAACTGACAAGGCTATAGAGTGTCGGAGAGCAGCAGTGATGGTAATCGCCAGTCTGATCAAAGGTTTGGGCAAAGAGACTTTACTGGAACTAAAGGATCAACTTCTACCAATTTATAGGACTTTGAAAAGTCTATATGGAGATGAAAATGAGGACAAAACAGTTCGACTCCACGCACAGATAGCTTTAGAGGAACTAAACGATGTTGTCAGACAATTTCTATTTCCTGAACTAAAGATGGAAAAGCAAATATTTGTTCTAGACGAACCACGAGACGTATTCAAATAAAATACAGTAAGTCTCACAATATTTGTTTTATTCACACTCATTTTTCTATTTGTATTAACTTAAAACTAAATTCAATGCAAACGAACACACGAAAAAACAAACAGTTTTGTTTAACTACATACTTTTACTGCCAATAATAAATAATTAAACACAAATATCATCAAATCCCCATCAGAAGATCCCCAAATTCATTTCAGTTATGTAGTTTCGTATGCTCACTTCACACAAGTCTTGAATTTCTTAAATAGATATATATCTATGGCAATCATAGCATTGATGTTAGTGATTCTAGTGCAAAGCAAATACTGGCCACGAATTTAAAATGTGCCAATATAGTTTTATTTTAAAAACCTTTCATCTTTCAAGTTATTTTATTTATACGTCTTTGGAAACCAGTTATCGGTCTCTGAATGAAATTGATCACGGGTTGCCTTGGTCAATTTTGTTTTAGGTATTAAATTATATAAACAGTCTAATTTTACCATACGAACCACGTACCAAACAGATCGTGCACTTAAACTAAATAATTAAATTATATCAATCACAATAGTACATTAAAATATTTACGCCTCAGACGTGTTGTCGCCCTCATTAGGTTTTTTAGGTATTCCTTCATCTTTTTCCGATAATGAAATCGAATATACCGAGCTTTGGTCTGAAAATCGATCTCTGTTCCGCCTACTGAAGATCCCGCTTCGTGCTAGAGATGAGACGGTGGCAATAGATATGTTGTCTCTGTCAGCTTGCGGTACCACCTTCCATATTAATAGAGCGATGCCGCCAAACGCAGCCACTACTAAAAACATCACCAAACTGACCTCACCGAACGCACCTGGAATAATAAATTAATGTAAAAAGGTCGACAATCCATCATAACTGAACCAATTTTAAAGAACCGTTTATTACGTACTTTGTTCTGATTCCTCCTTTCTCGCTTCAAGCCTGGCTGGTTGTAGTTCATTGTAGTCCATGTCTTGATTCTCGTATGGTTCGACGGATCCACTTGAAGATTTGTGGTGATGGAGCACATCTCCGGGGTTAGATTTCGGCAAGTTGATTCCAGCTCGAACTGTTAAAGTCTCGGGTTTATAAGTGCAGAGAACTAGGAATCTGAAAGACAGATTCATGATTGATTAACAAGTCCCATTGGTTTTTCTAAAGGCAGACTTGAAAATATTTTCTAATAGGTATCTTACCGTCTTGTGCTATGCGTAAGTATGGGCAAGTTTTCCTGCACGATGACGTAGGTAGCGACAGTAGTGTCGTTAACTTCTGAACCGCACTCGTCGTGGTGTATCCTCAATATGTAAGCATCTTGAGCACTGTTTGGGTTGCCTTGAATGGAACATCTCTCAGGACCGCCATCCGCTGCTTCCACAGCGATACGTCCTCCGAAAAAGGGACCCGTAGAAACCTCAACTTCACTTGCGTGTGGCAAACATTGGGTGGCTCGAGCTGAAACTGTAAAGGGAATATATCTTAGTATGTATGTTACTTTTAGTCCACAACAGATGTTAAAATAATCCTTGAAATTTTTAGAAGAGGATTATGTTTGTGATGGCAAAATAGACAAAAATAACTAAAACGCTTCCTTACATCCTTTAGTGGGAACGATTATAATTTTCGACCTAATAGATTCTGGATCAGCTAAATCTCGACCATCTCGATGGACTGGTCTGACTTCGAAGGAGTATGTGGTCGCCATCCGCAAGCCGATTATGCGTGTGCTATACATGCGCCCGCGCCTTGCACCGAGGGGCTGGGTTGTAGTGGCTGTCGCTTCCGTCGTGCTCGTAGATGGTTTCGTAGTCTTTTCTTCTTCCATTGTATCAATTACCTAAAATACAATATTTAAACGTAAAACTCAAGAAACATTATTCATAGATAAACGATACTAATGGGAAACCGTTTGATATGGAATATTTATGGTACCCTTAGCTAAAGTTGCCCGTAATATAATATAGTTTATTAAGGCTTAGCAGTAGAATAGTCCATAATGTCAACATTTAAATATAATCTGATTCAATAAAAGAGAAAGGCTACAAACATTGGCGGCGGTGCTATATTAACACGTAAATACAGTAATGACTGGCGGGCATGTTCCTTGTCATAGTCACGCCGCAGTCACGCTCGACGCGCAAACTCCGGCCCATTATCTCCCGTTTTGGAGTGCCAACTCATTGCTAACATATACCATTGTAAAGCTTCGTAGCTTTTATTTTAAACGCGTATGCCATTGTATTTTTTTTATCTCGTGAAAAGTAGGTGTATTACCTTTGTTCTGCATCTGTACTGGCCCCATGCTTGTAATTCGCAGTAATGCACTTGGAACGCCAAAACTTTCGGCCGGTCCTCCTCGTCGGGTTTTCCGTACTCCCACCGCAGTCTTACGTCGCGAAAGTCCGGCTCTCCAATCAGATGTAGTACTTCTGCAAACCGCAAAAAATCTAGAGAGTCCGTTCTGATAACAAATATAGGGGTGTTAACGTTACGCTCGGATGCAACAGCAATGCAGCGATCCGAGTGTGCCATTAACCCAATGACTTGCTCACTGAGCCGTTGTTGCTTCCAATAATTATAGTATCATCGATGTAATGGGATCTCCCTTGCGCTCGTTTTACAAGTCGTGGTCGTGTGGAACCAGTGCGTGGACCGCGAGATATCTAATATTACCTCAATCATATTCAGGCCCCGGGCGACGGGCGTGTAGCGCATCATACATAATATATGGAATTAGTTCACTCGTCGTCACCTAGTGAAAGAGTAAGTAGTCACTAGCAACTAAGTAAATAATTTCTACTTGAAGGAAAACAAGCAGGTACACTTATGATGTTTGATTAAACAATATCTTGGTAGGTATGTCCACTAATTTGACAGGCGAGACTTTAAAATAAATATTCACAAATAAATACATATGTATATCCATCGTCCTGGCCGAATTCGCCAACTACCGGGTTTCGGTTGTAATCTCACATGCAAAAACGTCAACATCGATACAGTCGTTTAGCAGTTCAGCGACACACAAACTTATCTACCAAAATATTTGTATGTACAATTGTGCATGTATATAAAAATTAAAAAACGAACATAAAATATTTGAGGTCAATACAGTACGACACTTGGCTTTATTAAAACTAAAAACAATTTTGCATTTTTATGGCTCTTGGCTCAACACTCAACAGTTAATTTTAAACTTTGTATAAAAAAAGTGTTTAATGTTTCCATCAAATCGTTTTGATGGAAGAACTATTAATCAACGCAGGAACAAGTTTATCGTGTTGGTAAAATATGGGTCTGTGTTATAATGACTTTATAAAGTGAACCGTAACCTGGATAATGTATTTTTGACTATATCTAGGTAACTAGATACCTAGATGTAACGGTTAGCAAAAGCCTTCCGTACGACTTCGATCTTGGAACAAAATAGATGCAATCCCCTTGAGATTTACAACTTTGTCAGATATAGAACGCATAGATAGCGTGCATACTAAGGGCTTATTCACTGTAAAATTAACTACATATGGTACCTATGTTTTAGACGCTTAAGCACAAATTCAGGGATTTTTAAAATATCTGGTTGATAGATGAAATTCGCAGCATTTAGGTAGGTACTGCAACCGACTTAAATTGTTTTCGTCAAATTCTTTCATCGTCTTATGATATACTATTAGCTTCATACAAAACAGTGCTTAATAAGTTCATAGAACATAAATACGACACTGGTCACTGTAAACATATATACCTACTCAGTATCCAGTAAAAAGTTATTTCGCTGTATCCTAATGTGAGCCTTACAAGGAAACCCTACACTTCATAGTAGGAGACTAGTTTCTTGGTCCATAAAATCATGTTACTACAGCTACGATCTCGCACTAATGATATACTTCATTCACTATTTTTATTAAAATGGCTCATTATATTCTTTGATAATAATATGAGTCATAGGAATTCTAACAACGCCTGTTGGCTGGCGTAAAACCGCTATCGTTAAATTGTTACGGATTCCTAATCAGACTCGCGACCACAAAATAATTGTTTATTTTTTTCATTAACTTTTTCGTAATATCAGTCGTTTATGATTGGATCTTACACTTTCATTGCTAATCTACGACTTTGTAAGAGATGACCAATTTTTATACAAACTTAATATCGAAAAATTAATATATGTATGTTTTGGTATCTTGGTGGTCGTGGTGGCCCGGAGGTTTAAGACGCCCGCTTCTCATGCATGAGGGTGCGGGTTCGAAACCTTCCAACGGCAAGTACCAATGTGACTTTTTCCGAGTTATATGTACTTTCTAAGATTATTTAGACACCACTGATAAACGGTGAAGAAAAAACATCGTTAGGAAACCTGGGCTTATAATTTCTAATTATAAGTTTGTAATCGCCAACCCGCATTAAGCAAGCGTGGTGAATAATGCTTAATCCTTCTCCGTGTGAGAAGAGGCTTTGCTCAGCATTGGGCATTTATAGGCTGTTGATGTGGTATCTTGACTTCAAAGCTTCACTTTTGTTTAGGTATTCTTAAACGACTTAACAAAAATATAAAAGGTAATCAGGCCACTCCACAAAAGGATATTTTGTTGTGGTCCAGTTTACAAGTCATAAAAAAACCTAAATTATAACGTCTTATTCGTATAGCCTACCTACTTATTTGCAGACTTAACATTAACATTATCGTAAGCATCTACAGCTTTGCAAGCGGGTCGCTCGCTAATAGTTCTTGAAATTGTATATTAAAATATAATTTTAAATAAATAAACGTGCCATCGTCCTCGATTGAACAAAACCAGAAATTGTTCAGGCCTCGAAATGGAATTGCAATAACATTAACATTTTTACCGCGGTACTGTGCGCCCGACATTTGAAAACGGATGCGGCCTCGCGACGCACTGAGAGGAAGCACTCGGTACCGGTACCAACAACATTATATTCAAATCGTTGGTAATCTGATTTTCGTGTGTACGAATATACATAGGTATGCTTAAAAATATGACAAGGTACCTACATAAATCCTACACAAATGAGATTTTGGAAGGACACGGCTAATTGCAGTAATTTATTCTTAAATTATTATTTTAGAACACCTTTGAAGATGCCATTTGTGTAATAGGCACGAGTCTAATAAAATTCGAGTCAGTTTAGTGTTTGGGACAAAGACATTGTTGAATTTTCTCTATGTTACAAAATACACCATAATTGCTTCCATTACATAAAATTTGCGTGTCGTGATACCAACATCATTATATAAAAAATGTTATGTGGTGACTGTAAGCATAATGGCACAGATTTGATGGTAGGTATGACGGATGCGCAGGCGGCAGGCATGACCCGACGACTGGACCAGAACGACCATTGTGCCTGTCGACTGATACAACACATACTAATCTGCAAACCAATTTCAACTACTCGTTTACCTGAGAATAACGTTGTTTTATCGTTATTACTCCCTATCTATACACATAAACTAGAGATATCCAAAATAAAAATCATAAGGTACCCATAAAAATTATGAGTACAAGACAATAAACCCGATGCTGAGCAATAATACTAAAACTTTATGCTGTAATCTATAAGTAGTAAGTGTGAAGAATCGAAAGTAAAAATGCTGTTATGCTAGTAATTAGCGAAACGTCTCAGCTTTCTTCCGAAAGCGGTTGTAATCATCACCGCATTTTTTGCGGTCTCTATTCAATGCATAATGCTTTGCGACTTTTTATCATGTGTCAAGTAGAATGAGCGAACGGCGCCGGAGTATCATCATAAAGTGTTTACACGCCCCTCAATATAGGAAATGCGTGCCGGTTTATATAATTCTTTTGATGTAATCACTTTAACGACGTCTATAACAACAATGATATTGATAACGGTTCTACTCCAGCATTTGCAATTTCCGCTAAGCCTCCTCTTAATAGTAGATAGATGATACCAGACTGCCCAAATGTTTACTACAGATGTGGACAAACTTTTTACTTTCAGAAAAATCTAGGTACATGAATACACATTGGATGGTTTTATATGTTGATGAATTCGTAGCTCAGTGAGTCATTGTGATGAGCGAGTGGCGCGAAACGGCACTATCCAAACAATAACGCGTTTCACGCGTGATGCTCTTCCTGCCGCGCTTTATGGGGCCATCTGATTTCATGGTGTCAATGCGGCACCGCTAGCACAGACGTGAATATACATCGGATCAAATGCAATTTTACGAAATCATGAGCATTTTATTTAGTTTCTTTTAACTTATTGGATGTTCAATTTGTCGCATCTGCATATAAGCGTCGTTATCAGAAAGGCTTTTATGTAAAAATAAATAAGCACACTCGTGCTCTCTTCCAGCTGTAATTCTAACATGCCAGTTCAAAGACAAACCAAAGCAGAAAATTGCTTTATTTTAACCGTAACTCTAGCAATCATCTTCCCAAACTCTTATTTATATCAAATATCATGAACTAAATAACTAACATTTTTCCGCCAAGGTGCTCTACATAATGGAGTAACTGCACTGTGTAAATGTTCGTTAATTCGACTCATTGTGAACTATTACGTCTGTAATGCATACAAAAGCAATAAAACTACACCCTGGTCAATGATATGCATCGTTGCGCGCACGTTCAAGAATTCCAAGATCCAATTGTTTTTGGTTCGCGATCGCGATGCAACGACAAGAATAGCGACTACCAACCCATTCAACTGCCACCGTTTAGGGTTAAAGAAAGACCCATATTTTTTGTGTTACCATGAATAAATTCTATTGATATTTTATGGGCATTCGGTAGATATAAATTAACTGCTGAGAATACTTGAATATAAATCACGGTCTAGGTAGAAAACAAATTATCTTGATGACAATGTTGCACCTAGGTCCCTGTGCGTCCACCGAGATTCCAGCCGCCGTCGGGCGTTATTTAAGTAGCCAGTAAATATACAAACTATCTGAAAGATCTCAGACATTACTCCGTTGCGTTCCTCTGTCCAACAAGTTCTTGCGTAAGTGTATAATTTGTGATTTGCAGCAATTTCTTTATATTAGGTACGAAATTACTTCATAAACATAATTATCCATAACTTGATACTTGTTTTTCAAACAATGACATGTATAAAGAGAATCTCAAGTCAAGACCCTTCAAAGATGGTGAAACGATGTAAACCTATATTCTATTGTTGAGCGTGCGTGTATAATGACCGTTTTTACCGAATTCAATTAAAAGTGACCCACTGGCGGAGACGCGTGAACAGTACAAAATAGTGCATGGTACTTTTGGACAAAACAGACATTACAAGTAACAAACTTTGTGACAATGGTGTTTAGCGACGACGAAATTGGGAGCAGATGAAGTGGAAACACACGTAAAAAAAATGGAATGCCAATTATCTAACTGTAACTGCATTGAATGCTTTCTTGTAATTTGTATTCATCTTTTTC